AAGATGCATGCAGAAAGGTGTTGTTAAGTTGTGTCGTCGAGGCAAACAGGCCTCGACTGGCAGCACAATAAGGCGTTACTTGTCGCCCTGGCAACGTGACCAATTTCAGGCCTAGGCCTGTGGGATGGTGATGAGGTAATGGAGACGGCGAAGAGGAGACGGAAAGCAGTTGTCTGTTGGTCAGTCTGGCTGAGCGTAGGTTGTCGTCGTGGCGACACGAACTGGAGTCACAGGACCCGGGGGAATAGAGACTGGCGGAACCGGGCCGTGTGGAATCGCAGTAACACCAGTTTCCCAGGCTACAGGTTGCCGTCGTCTTTGGGGAGCCGTCAAGTGCAGGCTCGACGTGCAGTCTGCGTCGTTTGGGCTCGAGACAGACGTCGAGGAGAAGGACTACGACAATGGCGAGTAAAGTGAAACTGACAAATACACCGAACAGGCCGCCTGGAGAGGATGGACGGAGCAAACGAAAAGACGAAAAGGGCGAAAAAGGGTGAGGGGTGGATACAAATGCAGGCATATCATTTTGGGAAATGAAGGCAGTTAAAGTGGGTTGTTAGGGAAAATGGGTTCTACTGAGTCCGTTACTATTCTAAATGAGTAAGAGACCTTGCAATAGAACAGTATTCGCCTCAAGTCGCATAATGCAAGGAAGTACGGATGGTAGATTTTTCCCAAGATCATTAGAATGGCGAAGTGTCCCGCGATCTGCCCCGCCCACTATCACCATCGGCGATCTCGGCTGCCTATAGTGCTTATTCAAGATAGATACTAGCCTACTTTTCATATCGTTTGAGAAGGCGGGTAGAAGGGATTCGTAGAATGGCCTCACCGGAAAACATTATTCACAAAAAAATCGCCAAAAATCACTAAACAGTTCTCGGTTTTTATCTTGAATACTGGCTTTTGGCTCTGACGATGTCCATCACATGGCGGACGAAAGTTCATACGAAGTTATCAGGGTCGTAGGACAGTGAACGGAAGTTATCTTCACAAAATTCAATAGACAAAAGTCCAAGGCAACCCTTCTGCGGTATCCGATGAAGCCAATCTATGAGTCCCTTCGACCAGTCTTCCCAAACGAAATGAAAGGTACGTTAGTATCAAGGGATTTTTCGAAATCCAGCTTCTCTTCTTATTATGCTTAAGATAGTCGGATGGCATTGTAGCCTACTCATTATGAATATAAGTAGTGTCTCCAATTATAATGGTGAATAGATGTTTGCCACACTGAAAATCTCATCAAAAATATGACTTGAGTAAAGTCTGGCTTGCTTTGTTAGTCACAATTGCACTGTCCCCCAGTGACACTCGTGGCAGTGAAGTTGAATAGTACAGTGTCGCCACGAGCGCGCGAATCTTTCTCAACCTTTACGGATGTGATAAGAGGCGGAGGCGAGACCAAGTCAAGTGCACAGCCAGGATAAAAAAATAATCTTGGAGACAAGAATGTGTACAATTATAAGGTAGAGGGAAGTTTAGTCATGGAATTGATGGCAAATATATACTATCAGACCTTCACCATCTCATGCAATCTATGTACAGCAAAACCAATGTTGCAATCTAAACAAGCAGCATCGTA